CCCCCTTCCCCCCCTCCTCCCCCGGTCTGGAAACTATCTCCAGACCACGCCTCCTCGTATTTCTTTTTTCTTCTTCTTTCTAGAAAATTAGAAACTACGTCATTCTAATTCTCGTTCTTCTTTTTTCTTCTTCTTCTTTCTAGAAAAAAATAGAAATTACGTCATTCTAAACTCAAAACGAGACCGGGACCCTCACAAAAACCCTGATTTACCGAGAGCTCTCGGTAGATCCGGGTAATGCTCTCGGTGAATCTGGGAACATTACCCCCCCGGCCCGGCTTTACGAGCCCGGGAACATTGCAAAAACCCAAATTTAACGAGAGCATTAATTACTCGGCTTCGCTTTCATCATAGTATATGTTATATAATATAATCAAAACGCCCAACTTTTTTCTCTGCTTTATCTTGAAATGATCAAACTGAACGCATCCTGATTTCGGCTGCACCTGACCGGAAATATAGCTTGTATAGATTCGGTAAGGTGCAGCCGAAAACTAAACGCATGATCAAACTAAACGAAGGCAAATACTAATACTAAAACTAACCAAAACTACCCTACCTTCTTCCCCCGAATACAACGTACGGTCATTATAGCTGCATTTGAGCCATCTTTCAGTCTAGATACAGCTATAATGACCGTACGTTGTATTCGGGGGAAAACTACCGTCTTCTCCCAAACACAACGCACCCTCCATTTCGGCTGCACCTGACCGGAAATATAGCTTGTATATCAGGGTGCGTTATGTTCGGGGGAAGCCGGTAGCCTAACAACTATAATACTGTAATAACCGGCCCTAACGGTCCGGTGATAGAGTTTTTTTTAACTCCCTTCCTCAGTTACACTGGTTCCCCCGCTGTGACACTTATCTATCCCCCTACCGTCTTCACGCGAACAGAACGCCCGGTCATTATCTCTGTATGTATCTAGACCAAAAACTGCCCCAAATACAGCTGTAATGACCGGGCGTTCTATTCGAGCGAAGACCGTAGCCCTGACCGAGTGTCGTGGTCATACTACTACTAGTTCTCAGTGTGCAGAAAAACCAAAAAAAAGAAAACGGTTTTCGGTGTGCATTGTATGAATTTGTCCTTCATCCTCCCACCAAGACACGTGAGTCCCCGATCTGATGTCTGATTGATTCCCTTTTTGGCGGGAAAACCCTTAACTCCCCGATCTGACGTTGTATTGATCCGCTTTTTTAGCGGGAAGACCCGTCACTCCCCGATCTGATGTTTGATGGATCCCCTTTTTGGCGGGAAGACGCGTCACTCCCCGATTTGATGTTTTATTGATCCCCTTTCGGCGGGAAGACCCTTCACTTCCCGATCTGATGTTTGATTGATCAGTCCTTTGGCGGGAAGACTCGTCACTCCCCGATCTGAATTTTAAGCGATCCCCTTTTTGGCGGGAAGACTCGTCACTCCCTGATCTGACGTTTCATTTGATCCCTTTTTTGGCGGGAAGACAGTTCACCCCGTGATCTGACGTTGCGTTCATCCCCTTTTTGGCGGTAAGACGCGTCACTCCCCGATCTGATGTTTGATTGATCAGTCGCTTGGCGGGAAGACACGTCACTCCCCGATCTGAAATTTAAGTGATCCCCTTTTTTGCGGGAAGACTCGTCACTCTTCGATCTGACGCGTGATTGATTTTGGCGGGAACGGAGGCGTCCAGATTCAGTTGGATCCCTTCTCGCTTGAAGACACGTCACTCCCGACACCAGTACAGTAGAAGGGGGGTGGGTGAAAGAGCGACTATGGGCCTCGCCGCACCAGTCACCAAATGCACAAAAGACGAAAATTAAGGCCGTGTACCTTTCCATGTTTTAGGCGAAGATTCATTCTCATTTGGCACATTGGGCGAGTGGTGCGGCGAGGTCTTATACCTCGGCATTATCGATTTATGCGCGTCGTCCTTGCGCAGGGGCCATGCTAATCTTCTCTCTCTCTTCTCTGTATTAAAAAAAAAAAAAAAAACCCATTAAAAATCATCTCAAAAATAAAATAAAATGAGAAATCTTCTGTGTATCAATTCCAACTTAAAAGAATTAGCCTTATTTATATATACATATGTATATATGTGTATATAAATAAGGCTAATTCTTTTAAGTCCACCCAAGTACTGCACAATAAATTTAAATGCATCTGGAGCTGGAAATGGTCCCAAACATTTAAAACGTTCTATCAGTCGAAATGTATTTGGCGCTTAAAACAGTCCAGATCCGGGTGAATGTTGCGTCCTGGAGCGGTGCCCGATGCGTCGGCATTTTCCAGACACTCCGCGACAATTACTTCGGCATTGTCGAGAGACACTCAGCGACAATAACCTCGGCATAATCGAGAGAAACGGCGACGATGGGCCGCACTCCACTGTAAAACACTCTAAATGCATTCGGAGCTAGAAATGGTCCTCGTGCATTCAAATCGTTCGATCTGTCTCAATGTATCAGATACGTGTCCAATCTTGAGTACTGGAGCCTCGGCATTTTCTAGAGAGAGTGAAGGCCCCCTCATCAGCGCCAATCTAGCTGGAGGGAGCAGCGAGCATCTGCTGCGTAAGAAGGAGAAGGAGGAGGAGGAGGAGGAGGAAGGGGAAGGCCAACGAGCACCACAAGGAACATAGCGCCAAGATCTGGATGGCGCCTCCCTTTGGACACACTTCGGTGATTGACCCCTCCCTTAGTAGATTGACCCCTCCCGAGTGTGGTTTTTACTAATCCTGTATCAGGGATCAAGCCCCCACTAGAATCAGGATGCCCACAGCTCTTTCTTTTTTTTTTTTTTTTTTTCCTTCATAAAACCACACTGCCAGCTTGATCCTGTTTCTGAATTGTATTGTGCGTCAGCGTGGTCCTTCAGCTTAGATCTCTGAGACTTCAAGCTCAACAGAGGATTGATGATTAGCGAAATGCTTCACTTTGCCATGGATGTCTTCGAGCAATGTATTGCCTCCGATTGTGAAGCTTGTCTTTTGCACAAAGACACAGAAGTAGTTCGAATTTTGTATGCATGCAATCCTATGCATCCGATCATAATGGCCCATGATCAATAAACGCATCTCCTCGAGCATTCTGTTGGGGGGAAAGCGGCCAGGGATAGGGTTCAGCGTCGGATTTCGCTTTGTGGCATTCGGTTCGCTCTGTTTCTTTCCCTAGTTGGAGTTTTCTATCTTCTTGCTGTTGCTTTCAACATGGTTGACATCGTTCCTTACATCTGGCTTGCACTCCCATACAGGTGAACACATGGATTGGGCGTCTAATAATCCTGTATTGGCTGCTATGCTCATGGCATTTGCACAGAGCGCTGCCCCGATGATACATTCACGGTCTGCTTCTGGCTCTCCTTTGGGTGTGCAGCAGCCTTGGCCATCATCTCTCATGCTGCAGCGTCTCCTTGAGCAAGGATCCCAGGCCCAACCATCACAGGCCTGGCCTGCAAATGCACCGCCGCCACCTACCTCAGCAGACGGTCTGCAGCGTCAATGCGCCTCCCTTCCAGCCTCTGCGACGCCATCGAGCACATCGCAGGTTTGGTCAGGACTTACAGAACAGCAGTACCAGCAGAGCCTCGAGGGCAAATTATCCGACGTACTTCAGACAGTTGTGCAGCTGGGTGCCGAAGTTCTGCTGATGTTTTACCAGCTCGCACAGCAGCGCTCCGGGGAATCTACGTCTTCCCAGCTTGTACAGCAAAACACTTTTAACGTCCCTCCTAGCCCCCCTGCGCAGCGGCGTCAGCAACCCTTTGCTGAGGGATTTCCGCAACCCAAGTGCTTCCCGCCAGCTGTTCCGGATTTGACGGCGGCAGGTGGAGGAGAGCTTCCACAGCAACAGGGTAATTGCCCTCCTTGTATGTCTGCGCATGCTCCACAGGAAACAACCTTGCATGTCCCGGCTACAACTGGATGCCTTCCCCATCTGCTGTCGTTGCAGACAAGGCTGCAACCTCCAGTCGAGAGCGCGGTCGCTGAATCTTCTCAAGGCACAGGCTTGCAGTCGGCGGCTGCAGACTTAAGACGGACAGTCGTCCCTGAGCGCACTGCACAACCGGGTGACCTTACTCCACTTACGGCTGCTCCTGCCATTCAGGGGACAGCTCCTGAAGTCCCACCTACATCTGGAGGCTGTCCGCATGTGATCCCCATGCCAGCTACGTCTCGACTCCCATCTGTGATCTCGACGCACACAACGTCTCAAGTCCCACCTACATCCGGAGGCGTCCCACATGTAATCTCCATGGGGACTTCTCAGGTCCCACCTGTGTCAGAATGCTCGCCATCATATCTGATCTCTACTCAGACAACTTCTCAGATGCCACCTATATCCGGAGGCCTCCCACGTGCGACCCCCATGCAGGCGAGAGATGGGCCTGCCAGGCCATTGGTTCCACGCACCACGAACCTGCCATCGACAGCTGCAGACCTGACACCGACAGTCAGAGCTGACAATGGAGTACATCCATCCCTTCGTTGCAATGTTTCGCGGAACCCCCTTCTCCAGATCTCGGATGGCGCCAAAAGCTATTTTCGGGAGTATACGGAAGAACAGAAACGAAGGATGAGAGGCTTGGCGATGCTTGTGTATGGTGTTGTTGGCGATGCACAACGACAACCTTGTAACAGAGGCGAAGGAAGTTCGTTGCCAAGTAACGTCTACACTGCTTCAAAGTGGGTGACACCTGTGCAGACTGTCCCGACCACGAGGGGAAGGAAGCGGAACGGTCCATCGAGTCCTTGCTCATCGTGTTCGTCGGCCGACCTCACCGACGAGGAGGCTGGCAGCTTATCTGGCATGCAACATACCGACGACAACAACTCTCTTGTGCCATCTATATTCCAAATAAAAACTGGAAAGATATATGACACTGTCGCAGCCCTGCGAGCAGCCCTTAGGCAGTCGGCGGCAGCATGCAACTTCAAGTATAAGGTGTTGAGGTCTTCGCGCACCCGATTCATTGCCCGCTGCCTGCAAGATGATTGCTCTTGGCGGTTGTGTGCACGAGTGCCTCCAAAATTAGGGCGTTGTGTTGTGAAGGAAGTGACAAAGCACTCCTGTACCAGCCCTCCGAACCAAGGCACAGGAAAATAGTGGGTGCAGAAATGCTTGCAGCAAATTTATGCGACACTTGCCAGCCTACAACCTGGGCCAGCCTTTCGCATGCGATAGGAGTCAACATTCGATGCTGGGTGTGTGAAACTCAGAGAGACAGGCTGTTCGACTTGCTCTTTCACAAGGGAAGTATCTGCAGTTGTGGCTTCTGGCAAGCTCAAGGTGAGCATGCAATCACAGCGGATCGGCCGTGTTGTTGTGCGGCAAAGGGTTAGAACTTATGTAGCCCACCGTCTTCACCTGAATACAATGTACGGTCATTATCGCTGCATCTGGACAGAAAATGGCCCCAAGTACGGGAATGTACGGTCATTATCGCTGCATCTGGACAGAACATGGCCCCAAGTACGGCTATAATGACCGGGCGTTATATTCGGGTGAAGACGGTAGTGCAACCCTTACTTGACAGGCAACCACTTCAATGAGGGCTACATACAAGGGGCCACTTATCGTATAGCATCATCCACAGAGACGGAAGGACTCGTCGGGTCGTGGAGAATGACACAGGGCCTCTCAAACCATGGGACTCACAAGGGTGCTGAAGTTTTGGCACTATCGAGGGTGAGTGCCGAGTGGACCCATGTCAAAATGGGCATGGCATTTGGAAAGGGGAAAAAAAGTAGGGCCTGGCAAGGTGCTGAGAACAAGACTTCTAGGCCACCGATAACTCATTCCGACGGCCACTGTCATTTGCGCCGTGGAATCTTCAATCGCTGTGGTTGCTTGCACTGTGGCCATCTGGTGCAGCATGCTGGGAGCCATGAGATTGCCAGAAGCAGCGAGATGGCAGAAGGAAAGGTACAGTATGTATTGCAGCATGCTTGTCCTATTTTGCAATGTTGTGTCCATGCTTGCAACCGCACCGTGCTGCGTACCGTCCGGTGCGCCGCACGACATGCGGCGCGGCACCTGCTCCTGCGCTGTACCAGCGGCAGTTCCCCTTTTTTGTTTTTTTTTGCTGTTTTTGCAGATACAGAAGAGTGCAACACCTAAGGAACTGATCTTTTTCAAGAGTTTTCTTTCCGTCCAATTGGGCATGAGAAATACCCTGCAAAAAGGTGTCTGGGGCCTTTCGGTAGCGGCATTACCCTCTCCCTAGTTTTTTTTTTTTTCCCGTCCCACAACAAACCTTTAAAGGGGACACAGGCGACCATTCGCCAGGCCATGCGCCCCCTTTCTTTTCTTGAGTGAATATTTCCCCCGTGTCCGGCACCGTGCGGGTCCGCTCGTGCGCCAAACGTGCGGAATTTTCTGCACGGCATCCGCTTGCATGTATGGTAAACTTGTGTCACATTTGGTGTTCACCGGGGGAGAAATAAATAAACAAATTGTTGTGTGCGCTGGAGCCTTGAAGATCGCTGTTGTAGCAAGCCCTGAAAATATTGAAAACTCTGAAAAACTCTGAAAAACAGAAGTCCGGGGCAAACGCTGCATGGCAATGCATTTCCCCCTAAGGATTGTAGAATCCCTTTTTCGGGTTTCTGTTGCCATTAGTTTATTTGGTGTCCACTCTTTTATGGATTTGTGATGATTTTCGGATTTTGGAACGCTGTGGAGTTTCCTCCTAAAGGCCCTGACAAGACCTTTGTGCATCATTTCCTTCTCAGAAGACCCTGTTTTTTTTTTCTCTAGAAGACCCCGAGAAGACCCTGATAAATTTTGACCATGATAAATTTTCCTTCTTTTCCTTTGCGTTTGCTAACGTGCATCATTTGCCCTGCTTTGCTCTGTTCTACAACCTTTCTGCAGGATTTCCGTCAAGTCTTTGCGGCCACTGCTGCTACTTCGCTATGTTGTGCATCCTTTGTGCAGGTTTTGCCTGCTCATTAGATCGTCTTCGGCGATCTACGAAGAGTTTTCCCTGAGCGACACTCGTAGCTTAGCGTGCAGGTCTCGCCGTGCATTCCAGAATGTCGTTCGTGTGAGGACGGGAAACGTCCATCAAGTCTATTTGCGGCCATAACACCGATGCATCACGTCTTTGCTCTGGTGTGCATCCTTTGTGCAGGAGGATGCATGGATTCATTCATCAGCACAACTCACCAATGACGAGTTTCGGGCGTCAGCGCCAGTGCTCCATCTGCATGTCTATGATACATTCCAAAATTTTCCCCAGGATTTCTTTCTTCTCTACGCCCCGCTTTTGTCGTCGGCAATCTATGAAGAGTTCCCTGGGTGACAGGCATACTACAGCCTCCAGGCGTCATCTCATCGCGCATTCCAGAAGCATTCGCCGTGCAGGATAGTACACTTTCGTAGAGCCGTTTCCGCGGCGGCTGTTGCTGCCGAGGTACTTCCCACAGTTGCCACAGCTTCTCTGACAATGCCGATAGTGTCACTTGTGGACTTTATCATCTCATTTCCTGTCAGTTGTCACAGCTTCTCTCCTAAAGCAGCAGGTCAGCTCGGACAGATTCTGAAAGTGCGACAGTGACAGCACTACTGATAGAAATGTGGAATTATTTTATGCAGCAGGTCGGCTCGGACAGATTCTGAAAGTGTGACAATGACAGCACTACTGATAGAAATGTGGGATTATTTTATGCAGCAGGTCGGCTCGGACAGATTCTGAAAGTGTGACAGTGACAGCACTAGAAATGTGGGATTATTTATGTCCAGAGTCGTCTGGGTGCCTGCTTGGGGGGGGTCGCCCGGCCGGGCGCCCCGGGCGCCATTCCAGGCATGGTGGGGTACCCCGTGCGCCCGGGGTGGAAAAAGCTCGGTCCAGACATCAGAGTCAGGTTGTGGACTTCAGAAGGAGACTTATCTGTGTGGACATTTCTATAGACGCATAGAGTGCAGATATCTTTTTTTTAGGTGTTCAGAAATGGTGGGGATATCTCACATGGTTAGCGGGGGAAATAGTAGTTTGTAGTGAAATTACTAATTAGTGCGTACACGCCATACAGTCAGGGTTCGGCTAATGCTCTGTTTGCGTGCTTTCTTGTCTGGATTCTGAAACTTTTGAAAATCTACTTTTCTAAGTTTTCTTGGCTTGAAGACTTGAACGTCATGAATGTGAGACGAGGGAGACCTGTTCCTTTGGATGGACGCAGGTAGGGAGCACACTACTACCGTTGCTCTATCAGAATACAGCACACCCTTGTTACGACTGTACCGTACCAAAAAGACAGCTTGTATAACATTCGTGGTCAGGGCGCATTATGGATGGATGCAGTTAGGGAACACGCAACCCTTACCTTTGCTTTCTTGGTACACAACACCCTAGTCATGACCGCACCGAACCTGAAAGATAGCTTGTATGCATAGCTTGTATGCATTGGTGATAGGGGATACACTAACCTTGCTTTCTCAGAATACAGCACACACACACCCTCGATATGACCGTACCAGACCGGAACGACAGCTTGTATACATTCATGATCAGGGTGCACCGTGTTCTCCCTGTTAAACACCTGTGTTGTGGGTGGATGCAGATAGGGAAAACGCGACCCTTGCTTTCTCCCGACGCAACACACCCTCGTTATGAACGCACCGAAAAGATAGCTTGTAGACATTCGTGATGAATGTGTGCTGTTTTGAGGGGAAAGACAGTATGTGCTTGCTGTGCTTTGTGCATTTTTGACATCCTCAGGACTGTCTGGCCTGGGAATGAGGGCAACAACACTTTTATTCTCTGCATTTTTTTTTTCCAGGTTCAAAAAAGTTTTTGGATACTCGCAGGATTGCAACACGCACCCTTGGTGGTTCCCTGAGGCGGTATTGGATGTTTTGTTTTCTTTCAAATACAGCTGTCTTCTTCTCATGTGGGGGGGGGAAGGGGGGGAGTTGTTTTTTTACCTACCCTTTTTCTTCTCTCTCACCTCACACTAGCTATACCCATATCTATGCCCTACGCACCCAGGCAGATAATGGTTTACAGGAGAAGCAACTACCCTACAGTGGAGGGAAAGGCCCTGCGTGCCAAGCACGGCCTATGTATCTAGCTGGTGCCGGAGGCTGAATCGGGCTTCCATGTTAACCGCTGTGCCTTTGTTTTCCAAGCGCGGTAAGGTGCTGGCTGTTTAAATATACTAGCCTGGCCTAAGCCATCCTAAGGTTATGGGTCTACGCCTACCTGTCTCTGCTCTGTGCAGGGAGCAGTACCTAAGCTCCTACCACCTGATGTGGGCTGGAAAGAACATCGCGACTTCCACAACCGGCCACGAGGGACAAGTCTCAGTTGGTGAACCCGAAGCATGCCACACAGAGGATTGCCGGGGATTGAACTCACGACCTCCTGTGTCCCACGTACGTGCTCAACCAACTGAGCTAGGCCACTTGGCGTATAGGACATTTTTTAAACCAATCAGAAGCACATTTTTGATGCACAAGCGCAGTCTCAACACTTTGGAAATTTATCAGACCTGCAGCTGCTGAGTCTGGAGTTATTGTTGACCTGTCAACAGGAGGGGTTCGTAGACTCATATCAGTAGTTGCTGTAGAACCATCCATGCCTTCTACCCAAACTTTCTCCTCTTGTTGTTTTCTCTTCCTCCTCACCATCTTCCTCTCCCTCCTCCTCCTCCTCGTCAGCCCTCTTTCTTTGCCAATGAAACGCCAGTTGCTGCTATCTTTCAAAATCCATCGACAAATAGGTTTCACAAAGCAAATCATAAATGGACTGGAAGCACATTTTTCATGTACAACACAGCACACAAGCCGATTGTCAACATTTTGAGCACTTGTCCCTCCCCCGCCCCCACAGAAAAAAAAAAAAAAAAAACTTAAAAAGAAAAATTATTTAGATACAGCACATCACATTTCCGAGATGCGCCACGCTATGACAAAAATGAAAAAAAAATGCTTTGAAGGGACAGTTCCACATGATATTCCAGCCTACTTGTGCTAATGAATGCAGAATTGCACTTCAGAATTCCTCAGAATTCTATGGCCATAATTTGAACTTGGTCATTTACATATACCAGTCGTGTGATCCCTATGCCAAGCTACCGTAGGACAGAGCGTTGGCAAGTATGGGTCTGTCTGAGGCTTGCGGTCGCAATCGCCAGCCCTGCACGTACAAACTCCAAAGCCCCCACCAGCAACAAATGAACCCCCTGTCTGTGTATCTGTGGGATCAGAACAATGGTTGATGATTGCACATCATCATCTTTAGCCCCGTTGTCCGTTAAGGGTCAGAACAAATGAACCCCCTGTTCTGACCGTTAAGGGTCAGAACAAATGTCAACTTAAGGAAAGACAACTCCAATGTGTCATGAATCACACACACTCCAATGCGACGAGTCATAACTCGGATGGACCGCTCAGGGGTTCAATGTTGGTGAATTTGAATGTAAGACAATTCCTCGTCTGCGGCAGAAAGAAAACCTCCAATGCGCCCAGTTTTTTTTTTTTTTTTCCTGTTTTGGGAACAGCTGGGTTGTCGAGCCCCGGTGGGGGTGCGGGGGTCCAGGGGTGGGCACCCCTCACCCCCGTTCCGGACCCCCCCCCCCCAAAAAAAAAAAATAATAATAAAAAAAAAAATCAGAAAACAAATAAAAAATACAGGGGG